AATCCGGCCGAAAGCATGATTGTGTAACACAGGCTACTTCTTCATATACCGGCTCATACTACAAGACGCCTTTACAACTAGCAAATCATAAAATTACCCGATCTACTAGTATGTGCGGTTTACCAGCCCCAGACCACATCCGACCACGAGGCAGAACACATTGATGGGTTGCTCAAAAATATTGTCCATGTTTCCAAAGAGCTGCTCCACTAACACTATGGAGCGGCCCAACCCAAAAATATTGGCCATGCCATATGTGTACAGAGAAGCGGCCAGCATGCTCGTTGCTAGGACGACCGGTCAGTTGCTACGTGACTAAATACACGCCGCCACTAGGCCACCCCAGCCGACCAGTTCGAAATCGATAGGATTACGTCATCGGTATTTACATTTCGTAATGTTGACCTCTGACCACCCCACATTTCCGTCCCCATCAGCCTGACCGCGACTTAATTACTACCGGTCACATAAACAGGCGAAACCATTTCAACGACATGGGGATGTTTCGAAAATAAGCATTTACTCCAATATCAAAACAGCTACGGTAAAAATAAAAAGACGTGCATCATCCCGAACATAATGCCACACCACATGCGAAATTACACAGAAATGCGACGTACGGAAGAATGCGTTTTGGCTGCGAACATCTTCCAAATAAATTGCCATCTCTTAACCATGGGCAAAAACATCTGGAACCACTTATCAAAACCACCCCGTATCTGCATGAAGTTCCACCCCCCCACTGCTATTCCAAACAACGCGTTTTTCTGGACCATTCCAATTCGCCTCGTAATTGTAGGGGTGCGTCTGCAATATTACATTGACCGCGAAAGCAGCAACGGCAAAAATACACATTCGTGCATCAACACGGGCATGCCCGCAGACGGCGTATAAAATTGCGTGCGGATTACACAAAGAGAACCCAGTGTTTTGACTGCGAACATGAAAAATCAGCTGATCACAACACTCCGTCCGGAGGTCCTGACCTCCTTCACGGAGGAATAATTCAGAAACAGCATAATAAAACTTAAGATTAGTGCGATGGATCTCCTTGCAAAATGAAAAAGGTCGCCAGCCAGGGCCAATTAGAAACTGTGTCCCACGTTTCATAAAGACATTCAAAACGAATTACATTTGATAATAGACTGTCCCACTTATGATGAATACCGACAAAGATTGTTACAATATATTACACGTAAGACCGATACTACCTCATACAAAGACAGAGATATTCAACATACTACTATCATATCCTATCAATATATCCACATATGTAGACCAACTTATGCACAATTCGCTGACAAAACGAGAAATTATTACACATTCCTGACACAATATCATATTACTATCAATAGAGTTGGATTAGTATAATTGATATCTTAACTGATATATATGAAAGTAGAACAGTTAGAAATGTCACCTCGAAATATACTCTTAGAACTGTTAGCTATTGTTAGCATCACCAACTATGTATATTTTGCCATACGTTGTACCCGTTATATCCGTTGTGCAATAAAGATCTTATTATTATTATTATCATTATACTGTACACCCAAAACTCTAACAAATTCGTGTAACGCTTTAAGGTGCATATGTAACGGTTGGAATAGTCAGTAGGCCACCGAGGGTTTGATGAATCGTTTCACAAATTACACGTTTGTCATCTTTTTACCTAGATAAGACGTAAATCGGTGATATTCCATGATTTCAGCATATCGATTCATTTATACATGTTCATGCATATGCATCAATAGACGTATCAACTAAGTTCGTAACGAATAATCCTTATGTTAGGCGAGATATACATTGTCACCTAGATGCTCTGTGCGACCATGTGCTCATGTTTATATGTTTACGAGTGGAGGCGTCGAAAGTACAGACGATTAAGTTGCACCGCATACAAATGATTTTTTCTTTCTTAAACGAATATCTTACGTCGTATATATTTATATAAATCCATACAGGGCTCATATACAGAATCTAGCTGTGCAGTTAATAGATCGGCTTTTCTTTAGCAGCAGACCCACGGAACCAAAACCGCGACACCCGAAATATGACCTCCTTGACGGAGGTGATGATGGTTTAACTTATATTATACGTGTGTGTGTGTGTGTGTGTATGTGTGTGTATGTATGTGTGTGTGTGTGTGTGTGTGTGTGTGTGTGTGTGTGAGTGTGTGTGTGTGTGTGTGTTAAACATTGGACATACCACGTTCACAAACTGCTCCAGCATCTTCGCTGTGCTCACAGTTATGTAATCCCCATCCTCCGTGTCCACAGTCAGAAATAGTTGTCTCGGAACCATCGCACGCTACATCGTCCAGCCAGATCTGTCCAGACCCTTGCCCGAACTCTGCCCTTACACGAGCTTCTGTTGCACCGGGATATCCCAGCTGACGACAGACCACATGGGCTTCTTCCAGCCCCCAACCATCGTCACAGACGGTCCCCCATTGTCCGTCATGGAACACCTCCACTCTGCCTTCATTGGAAGAATTTCCACCCACAAGTCGGATATCTAAAGGCAAAGAAAAGAAAAATTATCATTTAATGATTTAATGTTGTTATTGAAATATTGTTTTTCGTCATGTTTCTTCTCCTCCTCCTTCTCCTGCCATTTCTTTAAATTGATTCAACTCCTTCATTTTTGGGGGAAATGACCTGGAATTTCGTATAGAGGTGGAGTGGGTAAATACCACCAGGAGTTTTTTTATATAGAATACAACACGGGGTATTCCGTATCGCCCGACGGCCGCAGGCCGGAGGGCGATCCGACTCGCGGGAGGGCCGGGACCGATGTCTTATATATTTCATTTGCATATCTTGCACTTAATTATGCACAACTGTCTCTCAGCTACCTACAAGTTTCTACCAGAAACTAATATGCAGTTCCAGAACAAGCTGCTAGGAAAACCAAACTTACACCACTTATTTCTGACAGGATAAGCTATCTGTCACTAAAAAATCAAGATCATAGCCTATTCAGGACAAAAGATACAAAAAGTTCTGCTGCAGTATCGATATCAGGGTCATCCGCCAGAAGGCCCATATTTGACCTTGACCTTTGTCTTCATAAGACCTACCAGCACACCAATTATCATCACAATCCATAAAAACGTTATGAAGTTATTAAACACTGGACAAACCACCTTTACAAACTGCTCCAGCATCTTCGCTGTGGTCACAGTTATGTGATCCCCATCCTCCGTGTCCACAGTCAGAAATAGTTGTCTCGGAACCATCGCACCCTACATTGTTCAGCCAGATCTGCCCAGACCCTTGCCCGAAGGCTGCCCTTACACGAGCTTCTGTTGCACCGGAATATCCAAGCTGACGACAGACCACTTGAGCGTCATACAGATCCCAACCATCGTCACAGACGGTCCCCCATTGTCCGTCATGGAACACCTCCACTCTGCCTTCATTGGAGGAATGTCCACCCACAAGTCGGATATCTAAAGGCAAAGAAAAGAAAGATTATTAATAACTATGTTTACTGAATAACAGTCCAGGTTGTATATTCAGTCACTGTTCCTCCTATAAAGTACACCCTGTGCAAAACGGACTAGAAACCCCGACACCGAGAGCATGTCCTAACAGCCCCTTTCCTCTACAGGCTGCGTCCGCTGAGCGCGACACAATATTTGACAGATCACTCCGGAGACAAAGAACTACTTTTACGTATTGTTTGTTTTACTGTCATTTGCACTCTGCATTATTTTTTCATTATAAGATAAAGCAATGTACAGTTACTACTTAGGATTCAATTTAGATGGAAGTTTGATAACGGTTGAAAAATGGGATAGCTAGAAACTCATGCATATATGTTTCATGTAAGACATCATGAAATTAACGGGGCGCGCATCTAGGCATGAAACATGTATCGAAACTCAAATTTATCTCCACTATCATTTTTCATTTCATCTACTCAACATTCATCTACTCTACATCACACTTCATAGAAAAGACAACTGTGCTTACGAATTCGATTCATCATGTTGCAAACAGTTTTGTGGTTGACGGATCGTCGTGATTTTTGGTATGTAGGTAGCTTATGTGATGCTTGATATAATTATGTGACAATTATGCAAGTATGAATGTAATTTGAATAATTTATGGGGAAATTCTATAAATCAGCTGCATTCCATGATAGGACTATTGAAGCTTGTGACATTGGTAATTGAGGACGGAAGAAACACAGGCAGATATTGATTACGTTAATGGAGCATAATTGATGAGAAAATTACGTAAAACGTGCATAATTAATGAGAAAATTTTATAATTATGTTATGATAGCTGCCTGGAATTGTATACTTGTGGTATTTGAAAGTTCAGTGAAGGTGAACCTCATTAAACATAATGTATTCAATCAGGAGCCATTTGCATAATTTCTGAGGAAATGCTAGAATGGCATTGTTTTTTTTTATATAACACTGTCGTTTGGTTGAGAAGATGATAAACTGATATAATTCATGAAAATGAGGATCCAATTGTTCAGTCAGCGGGAAATAATCTATGATTTGTCAGTCATAAAGATAAACATCATTTGGCGAAAGTATGAGATCGGGGAACTCTAGTTTGTTTTTGTATTAGCGCACAGAAGCTAAAATTGTACATTTTTGGTCAAAAATAGCAAAAAAAACATTTTACAGAATTTTTAAGTGACACACCGCAAAAGCATATTAAATATCATTCTGTGGGCTTGTATTCAATGATCTTTCATAACAAATTTCAGGGCTTTTGGTTTTAATATTAGGGCACAGGTGTCAAAAATGTACTTTTTGGTCCGACAATTGCCAAAAAGCCCTATTTTACACAATTCTAAAGTGGTGTATGTCAAAATCGTGAATGACATGCTTTGAATATTTGTCCAAAGTATCCCCATACCCAATTTCAGGTGATTTGGATTTAATAATAATAGGGCACAGGAGCCAAAAATGTACATTTTTTGTCCGAAAATAGGCAAAAAACCCTATTTTACACAATCTTTAAGTCATGTATGTCAAAAGTATGAACGGTATTCTTTGGACATGTCTCCAAGGTATCCTGATGCCGAATTTCAGGTCATTCGAATTTAGAATTTGGGCACAGGAGCCAAAAATGTACATTTTTTGTCCGAAAAAAGCAAAAAAAACTATTTTTACCTCCATGAAATGGAAGGTATTGTTTTTGGCGCGTCTGTGTGTGTGTGTGTGTGTGTGTGTGTGTGTGTATGTGTGTTATTGTGTTTCCGCTTTTTTGTACCTTCATAAGTTCATAACGCCTTCATGGATTGTGGTGATATTTGGTATGCTGGTAGGTGTTAGGGGGGCGAAGGTCAAGGTCAAGTATGGGCCTCCTGGTGGATGGCCTTGGTAGTGCAGTAGCACTTCCGGTTTAATGAGGAATCTCCTTTGCAGCCAACAGATGTGTCATTGTGTGGCTATCGAGTCAGTGCGCTTGGGACCCGGTTTGATTAATGGGATTCCCTCAGGGGAATAGGTGACCTATTTCAGGGTTAGGGTTTGTATTAGCTGCAGGCCTGATTAGCTGTGTGTTTGAAACACT